AGGGAAATTCGTTATTCAGATTTGATTATCCAACTTTTTTCCACATAAAATTTCCATTCTCTGGCAATGAAAAAATGTGTTTAAATGATATATTTTTCAATTACACTAAAGTTTTTCAGGTTGAGAGTAAACTAACTCAACTAACATTTTCAACTACGATAAATAGTAACCTTAATACAAACAAATAAAGAAAAAGTCAAAACAAAAAGTTTGGAGAGTAGAAAATGTGTTTTAATACCTAATTTTAACCAAATATATACTATTAAGTGAATCTTTTTATCTTCTTTTTCATGGGAGAGGTGAAAGGGAGGTAAATGTTGGAATAGGTACTTGTTTCAGAAAGAGATGTCTGAAAAACAGGCATGTTCTAGTTAAAATGGGCTTTTGGAAAGGGACAAGACTATTCTACAGTTTTTGTTTATAAGAAAAGGGACTCAGGAGGTGATTGAGCCCCCATTCGAGCCTTAAAGTAATGACCCAAAAAACAATGGCTGACGAATGGGATTTTCCTCTGTGAATTCTGATTTTCTCAGGGTTTTCCAGAAGCAATATTTTTTGAAATCTGGAGAAGAAGCTATGAGTCTTGCTGCTGCTTCTGTGATGTGTGAAGAGGGAGACTAATAACAGAAGAGGAAGCTCGTTTTTGTTGTTGTTGTTGCCTTCCTCTGAAGTGGAATTATTTTAAATGGGTGAAATGAAAACAGACCAAGTTAGTAGTTCAAATATCTAAACTGAATAGTGACTGTCCTTTAAAGAAGACATAAACATTAGAGGTATTGGTTAAGCAGAAGACATCAGGAAAAATCAGGACCTTGTCTGGGATGTGTCTGGTACAGTGATTATTTCAGGACTTAAAGCAAGAAGAGAATATCTGCACAATGGTGGAAATAAATTCATTAGGAGTCCCTAGAGGTACACATAGATAGGTGGGATCTAGCAGGGTTAAAGATCACTCAGATGGCATAGAAACAGTATATCGCTTCCCAGTGTTTTTGACTCCAGTTCGAGTTGGACGAAAAGTTGTCACCCTGTCTTTGGTAACTTGTAAGACTCAATTTGGCCATAAGTATTACTCATGAAGCAGGAATCATATGCAAGAGATAGTTACATGACATCAAGAGAAAAATATATTTAAGACCTGTATAGAAACACTGGGGGGATGCCTTCAATTGTGAAATACTTTTTAAAAAGTAGAAAATGGAGTCATACATTTTTCCTTTTTAAAAATTGTCAGTCCAAGTAATGGTGAAGAAGTACAAATGGAATAAGCTAATTTGCAAGTACTGATTTAAAACAGAATTTTTAGGGTAATCAAATGCAACTATAGTCTAGGGGCTCTAGTTATATGTTTCACTTGTACATGCTTGTGTTATTCTATTAGGCCAAATTTGTACAACACTTGTGTAATATTTCTTTTTTGTTAGATTTCAAAATTGCCTAGTCAAAAGATGCATCAAAAATTCACTTTAAAACTTCGTAAGAAGAAATGCAGATGGGAATTTCTACAAAAAAATAAAATATTTAAAATATTTGGTATTACCAAAGATGAAGCAAAATATCCACTCTCTTAAGCTGCTGTGATCATGTAAATTGGTATTACCTTTTTCACAATCTATCTCAATAGATCTATATCCATAAATTTTAACTTTTCTTTGATTCAGCAAATATAATTATTGAAATTTATTCTCAGGAAATGACTGAACACATGTATGAAGACACTTTAAATATTGAAATAGCAATATTACAATAGCTGGCAAATAATATAAATATCCATGAATTGATCAAGTAAATTATGGTGTATTCATATAATAGAAAACCCTGTTTACTAAAAATGATATTGTATTTTTATATTTATTGACAAGAAAAGTTCTTTGTAAAATATTTCAAGGGAACCATGTAGACTAAAATGCAGAATTTAGATTAAGCCAATTAAAAATTATATATGTATGTATATATTGCAAGATGTTTGGAATCATGTTTTCTAAAATGTTGAGCGAATCTTCCATGGTAGTAGGATTACAGGTGATGTTGAATGAATGTTCATATTTTTTTGTTATACTCCTTTGTTAAAACTTTGTTCAGTGAGTATATGTACTAAAACTCAGAACACCTACACCTATTTTAAATATGTAAAATGAATCCTTCTTAAATGTTTTAACTATATATACATTATTTTCAATACTAAATAAAGGAAATTTCACCGTAACTAAGGTACTGTTCATTTGCTGCTCCCCATTTATACAACTTCTATGGAATTTAATAATTAAATCCTCACCCGCTATGATACAAAGCATAAATTGAATTGCAAAAATTGATACTTGTTTGACATTTGTTCACATAATGACTTAGACATCGTAATGTTTTATAGAGCTACTAGATTATATCCAGGTTTCTTTCTTTTTTATTTTTTGGCTTTAGTTTCTGTGAAAGTTTATTATTTTATACCATTTCCTAAAGTAACATTGATACATTATTATTTTCATTGCTACAATATCCCTGGTAAAAGTCATATTTAAAGCAAAGTACTAATTTTTATTTCGAAATTTGTACACTCTTTCTTTTACCTGGGGAATTTATTTTTGATGAACAAAATATTTTAAGTTGTTGAACTATTGGTTTCAAACTTTTGAAGGATGCTTATGTGCTAATAAAGTTAGAAACAGAGCTGGTTTGTGATCAAATGTTCTGATAAAATTCTAGTTTTAATAACAGGATGGTAGTATCAAATTCCAAGAATATTTGTACAATTTGCTGTAATGGAAGTTGTAGTGGATTTTCCATTTTTGAGCTCAGGATCTTTCAGTTGTCATATCTCTGAAGATTTCAAAATTGGATACTCATTATCTTGCAGAAAAACAAAATTGAATGCCTGAAACAGTAGAAAGTAGAATGATAATTTAAAAAAACTTTTCTTAAATTATTTCTTATGATAAATAAATGAAACATACAATGTAGCATAACAGCATGTATCATTCAACATGAATAGAATGTTCTTCTATAATGCAAAATGTCAAAGTGAGTAGACAAAGAATGCTATGCCTAACTTTGCTAGGCAAATAAATACTGCTAAAAGTTTTGGGGGGAAAAAAAGAATATTTTTCAGGGAAAACAAGAACTTTAGACCTTATTTTATCTTTTTTTAAAAGATAACTTGTGTGAAGGGAAATTTTACTCTAAAATGAAAATAAACCAATTTGAGGTAAATAGTTACTCATGAGGTAATGACACTATTGAGTACTTTGCTCTTTAATATTTCTGGGTTATTTGAAAAATTTCTCATATTTTGTTTACAAAGCTCTAAATTCTTTCCACTCAGAGTTTTTACTAATTATTTCTGTTTTGATAATATACCTATGCTATTTACATCACAGTCACATCCTTCTAAATAGGTTGCACCATTTATGGTACGTCCTTGAAAAGATGGACTTGGGAAATAGGGCAACATAGAGGCTTTGATAATGGGTCTGAAAAAACAGGCTATTATAAACAGAGACCTTTGAGTTGGAAAGAAGTTAATTGTCATGTGGGTGGAATTTGATAAAAGAAATTTAAGGACTTCAGGGCTTTTATAAACCAGTGATTCTTCTGACTGGCATTTCTTAGTTAACTAGCAAAAAGAAAAAAATCAATGATTTGTAAAAACTCACTTGATTAATTGACATGTAATTTCAGTGAGCTGAATTAACACAAGGTTAATTAAGTTGAATTAACAGAAGATGAAATTGTTTGGGTCACTCTCTTATCTGACTAAAGGGTGGCTTTTACACATTTAGAAAACAAACTATCAAGAACATTTTTTCTTTCTTTTTTTTTGTTTTAGAAAATAGCTAGCCATGGAAACTTATAAATGGTTTTACTTTATATTATATTGACTTCAATATGATATTTCTATAGATCATGGACAAATGAATTTGCTTATGCCATAAAGTAAAATAAATCACTATTATAATTTAGCAAAAATAGAAAATACTATTAATATGGAATTTTATCATAAAGACATTCCATATTAAATATATCTATCTTATCTCATAAAGGGAGTAGAAAAATAGAGTTCTCTAAAACTTTTATCAAGTGTCTATTGATTATATCCATATATGGAATATCCATGTAAACTTTGATTTTATTGTAGTTTCTTTTAAATGTAAGTGAAAACTTCTTGCTGCATTTAGAAACCTGTATATTTTCAACTGAAAGTTGATTTTACTTAGAAACAGTGATTAAAGGCTTTGTCATAGAAATATGACGATAATGACATATTCCAGGACTCCTTCGAGTTAATATATAATTGAGGAATTAGATCATTAAATCACTGTTTGAAGCTACTAGGTATTCTGTCTGGAGGCCTTGGATGATATACTTTGTACATTTTTTGCTAATGGTAATTGAAATTTTCAGGACAAATTAAGCTTCTAGTAAGGCTTAGGATCTACTTTTGTGCTCTTATTTCTACTGTGCTCCCCTTCTAGTTTTGGAGATGACATGAGTAGTAGCATACCAAATAGTTTTGTGTCTTCACATGTATCTGGTTATCTTCTATTTTATGTGTTTGAAAAATTATTTATAGAAAATGTTTGTGGTGGACGTTTTTCTCCTAAAATGATTTTCTTTACTTTTTCCTGGTACATGAGAGCACTAGCAATCTCATGATGCATGCAAATTCATGACCACCTTAATCCAAATTTGAAGCTTGATCTATTTTGGGATGCATAAATGATTGGAGCAAGGCAGCAGTCTATCACAGAAATGGCTTACTTCAGTGTTCAGTAACTTCTAGAATGCAGCTCTTTGAGTTCAAGCCTAGTGGGCATTAGTTTATCAAGGTGTTCACCCTTCTGCTTAACTCATTACCTGTCTTTTCATGTTTAACAAATACAAGATGAAGACAATCCAAGGCCCATACTACCAACCTCTTTGAATCTTGGGAGGGTGATTACTATATTATTGATTCTTTAAAACTTTTAAAAGAATATTTTAAAAATATTTAATCTAATTTTTTTTAGTTATCTTCAGTGAGAGAGTGTTCTGCTATTAACAGAAGTGGAAGTCCCATATGCCTTAACTGTAAGTATTCCATCATGTAATTTCTCTTTGGGTATTCTTCCTTGTGAAATTATTTTTAAATAATTATTAGATTATTATTATTATATATGTATGTATATAAATATGTATATACGGTTCGCCAATTGTTAGCTAACCTCAATAAAATAAAAATTAATGAGGTGCTAGCTACATAGCTCCATTTCCTGACATACATGAATGTACATATGTGTATATAAACTTTGTTGTCAGAGAGATTTGCATTTGACTCTTGTGTTCACCTTTTATTGCTATGTTGTTTGTGCTACATAGCATAATAAATTCTCTGAGCCTAGGTTTTCTTGTATATGAAATAAGAATTGCCTTAGAGTTAATGAGATGGTGAATGTTACATGCATGAAGAAATATTTTCACATGATAAGAGGATGGGGAATTTCTTGTTTTTGTCTTCCACACCTAACAAATCTTTCCAGATTGAAGAATTAGTTCTTCAAGAAACAGGTCTTTACCAAGCACATTTTTTCCTCCATAATCTCTTGAGTTATTTTCAATGATTCAATAACTTCTCCTTATCAAAAGTATTATTATTGTTGTTGTTGTTATTTTACTTGCTCGTTTTCTCTAATAGATGGTAAAGTTCTCAAGAACAAGGTCCATGCTTTGCCTCTTTGTCCCCAGAATCTAGAACAATTTCTCTCACAGTATAGTGCTCAACATTTATTTGAGTCAATAAATATTGATATGTGGTTGTTTCAGGGATTGGTCACATACCTGTAAGTTTCACTTCAGTTTGAATGACAAAAAAAAAAAAAAACCCTAAATATTTCTCTGTAAAAAGTGTATCTCGCTCCTAAAATTGCATTTTGATCTATATATTATCCTTATAAGAATAATGAAATATCTGCCTAAAAACTATATAATTCTAGGAACATAGGAATTATTTTATTTCCTCATTTTTTCACTTTCCTCTTTTCTCCTATTGAATAGATGTTCTGACTGCAAACATTTCTACCTTTTTCCTCATTTCAAAGGGAGAGCTTTAAAAGTTTCCACAATTTAATAGAATATTTGCTATAGGTTTTTTTTAAATAACCATCATCAGGTTAAGAAAGCTTATTTCTGTTTCAAATATGGTAAAAATGCATATCATGAATGGATTTTGAATTCTCAGTGGCTTTTCTGCATGTATTAAGCTGATAATATGTTTATTTCCTCTTTTCTGTTGATGTGGTAGTGAATTACACTAATTGGTATGTTAAATCAATATAGAATCATGGGATAAAGTCAAGCTGGTCATGATATATTATGCTATTATATATTACTGAATTCGGTTTGCTAACTTTTAAAAAAATTGTATTCTAAATGAGGCTGAAACTGGCTTTTAAATTTCCTTTCTCATGCTGTTCTTCAGATATGGTATCAAGTTTATTTTAAAATGACTTGAGAAGGATAACATGTTTCTCTATTCTCAGAAAGAATTTGTATAAATCTGTCTTTATTTGGGCTACCATAACAAAATATCATAGACTGTGTAGCTTAAACCATAGAAATTTATTTTCTCACTATTCTCGAACCTGGAAATCCTAGAATAGGTTGCCAGTATGGTTGGGTTCTGGTGAGGGCTCTCTTCCTGATATGCAGACAGTGGCTATCTTCTCATTGTGTTCTCACATGGCAGAGAGCAAACGAGCATGTCCAATACATTGAGAGAGGGAACTCAGACTCTCTGTAAGCAAGTTTATCATAATCTACGGTACATAATCTCAACATAAAGATCCCATCCTCATGACTTCATCTGAACCTAATACTGTACCTTTCAAGGGTTCCATCTCCAAATATTATCACACTCAGGGTTAGGGTTTCAACATATGAATTTGGAGAGTGGACAAAATGTACTCCATAGCAGTTCGGAATTTTCCCAGAGTGATTGTTTAGTAAACTCATTCATAAAACTATCTGGGACTGTAGCTTTTTTTGTGGGAAAATTTTTAACATTTGATTTGATTTCTTTATTTTTATTTATTTATTTTTTTTTGAAACAGAGTCTCGCTTTGTTGCCCAAGCTAGAGTGAGTGCCGTGGCATCAGCCTAGCTCACAGCAACCTCAAACTCCTGGGCTCAAGCTATCCTCCTGCCTCAGCCTCCCGGGTAGCTGGGACTATAGGCATGAGCCACCATGCCCAGCTAATTTTTTCTATATATATTAGTTGACCAATTAATTTCTTTCTATTTATAGTAGAGACGGGGTCTCGCTCTTGCTCAGGCTGGTTTGGAACTCCTGACCTTGAGTGATCCACCCGCCTCAGCCTCCCAGAGTGCTAGGATTACAGGCGTGAGCCACCACGTCCAGCCTGATTTGATTTCTTTAAATGATTATTGGGATTTTCCATTACTTTCTTTTCTATTTCTGATTAATCTGGCTAGTGGCCTATTGATATTGTTCATCGGTTCAAAAAACCAAATTTTTATTTCATTGATGATTTATATTTTTTTAATTTCCATTTTGTTTAGTTTTGCTCTAAGCTTTGTTATTTCTCTTTTTCTGCTGGCTTTGAGTTTGGTGTGCTCTTCTTTTCCAAGTTCCTTGAGATATGACATTAGATTGTTGCTTTGTAATCTTTCTGCCTTTTTGATGTAGGCAGTTAGGTCTATGAACTTTCCCCTCAGGACTGTTTTTTCTGTATCCCATAGATTTTGAAAGCTTGTGTCTTCTTTGTCATTCAATTTAAGGAATCTTTTGATTTACATATTAATTTCATTATTCACCCAAGTATTCAGCAGCAGGTCATTTAATTTCTGCAATTTTGGTAGATTTGAGTGTTTGTCTTAAAATTGATCTCTAGTTTCCTTCTACTACAGTCTTAGAAGGTAGGTACCTGGTATAGTTTCAATTGTATTGTATTGGCTAAGACTTGTTTTGTGGCCTAAGGTATGATCATTCTTTGAACATTTCCCATTTGCTGATGAAAATAATGTATATTCAGTAGTTTTGTGGTAGAATGTTCTGTGAATGTCTGTTAGGACCATATGTTCTAGAATCTCATTTAAGTCCAGTATTTATTTACTGATTTTCTACTTCAATGATCTGTCCAGTTCTGTCAGTGGGGTGTTAAAGTCCCTGACAATTACAATGATATTGTTTATTTCTTTGCTTAGCTCCAGTAAAATTTGGAATTTAAATTTGGGAGCTCCTGTGTTGGGTGCATATATATTTAGGATTGCTATGTCTTCTTGTTGAATTGGTCCCTTTACCAGTATATAGTGACCATGGTTGTCTTGTTTTGCCATTATTGCTTTAAAGACTATTTTATCTGACATGAAATGGTTACACCTATTCAGTTTTGATTTCCATTTGCATGTAACATTTTTTTCCATCCCTTTACCTTGAGTCTATGTGTGTCCTTGTGAGTTAGATGTGTTTATTGGAGACAGCATATATTTTGGGTGGTTTTCTTTATCCATTTAGCCAGTCTATATCTTTTAAGTGGAGCATTCAGACCGTTCATGTTCAGTGTTAGTATTCATATGTGGTATACAGTTCTATTCAGCATGTTGGATGATACCTTGTTGTTTTGTTTTCTTTCTTGTGCTATTGTTTTCTTAGAGCTGTGAGCTTTAACTTTCATTTGTGGGTATCTCTTGTGCTATTCCATGTATCATGTAGTTTTGAGTATTTCTTGTAGAGTGGGTCAAGTAGTGACAAATTCCCTTAGTATTTGCTTGTCTGGAAAAGTCTCTGTCAGTTATGAAACTTAGCTTTGCATAAGTTAGGATACAAAAGTCTTGGCTGGCAGTTGTTCTTTTTATGAAGAGTAAAAAATGAGGCCCCAATCCCTTCTGATTTGTAAAGTCTCTGCTGAAAAGTCTGCTGTTAGCCTTGTGGGTTTCCCTTTGCAGGTTAGTTGTGGCTTTCATCTTGCAGCTTGTAGAACTTTCTCCTTCATTTTGACTTTGGCCAGGTTGATATCTGTGTGTCTTGGAGATGTCCTATTTGCCATGAATCTTCCTGGTTTCCAATTATCATCTTGTATCTGGATATCTGAATCTTTGGTGATACCAGGGAAGTTTCCTCAATAATTCTCTTGAATAACTTTTCCACACTTTTTGCTTTTTCTTCCTCTCTCTCAGAGTTACCTATAATTCTTATATTGACCCATTTTGCATAGTCTCATAGTACTCATTCTCCTTTATTCTTTTTTCTGCAACTTCCACTTACTGGGTTAGTTTGAAAGCCTTTTCTTCAAGCACTGAGCTACTTTTTTCTGTATGGGCTATCCTGTAGTTTAAGCTTTCTAATGTATTTTGAAATTAAATGACTCTTTCATTTCTTTAAGTTCAGTTATATCTCTTCTTATTTTGTCTATCTCTTTGGTGAGTTTTTCACTTTTTCATTCATGTCCTGAAACATTTTTGGCTTCCTTTTTTTGTTGTTGTTGTTTTCAACTTTCTCTTTTACCTCATTCATCTTATTTGCCATCCATATTTTGAAATGAATATCTCATATTTTGAAAATTCTTTTAGGTTAATGTCCATTGTAGAGACTTATTGTGATCCTTTAGGTGTGTCAAACCAGGTTGTTTTTTCATGTGGCCAGAGTTCTTATTCTGGTTCCTTCTCATCTGAAATTTCTTCTCACAACTCAAGAGAGATAAGCTTGCAATTCACAGAAGCTTGCAGTTCTCTCCTGAGAACTCTCCTGTTTACTGCAAAGACAGAGAAGTTCCTGGTTGGCACACTTGTGTACTCATCTGGAAGATTGACTCAGCACAATGTTGGCAGATGCCCACTCACTGAGTGTTAAACACTGGTGCTCTCCTGTGTCTTCTGCCTAATTGTTCCCCTCTGATTGCCATGGGTGGTCTCCGTGTTGCAGAATGAGTGAATGCCACTATGCAGTTCTGTCAGCAGTAGCAACTGTTGCCTGATGCTGGCTTGAGAGCCACTCCACTCAGATCTGTGCATAGCAGCTTTTTTCTACCTGTGTTGGCTTGGGAGCTAGCTACCACCTGCATACTACCTAGATA